TGCATTTCTTAGGGTTTCTGTTAATTACCTAAAATTTAAGTCTCCAATAAATTTCAATTAAAACAAAGTAGGGCATCAACTAGAAGGAAAAGTTGGCAAGGAACAACTGGCTAGATGTTTGCACAGGCATAATGTTTTATGGTTAGGGTTTAATATTTCCGATTGGACTCTGACTGATTTATCAGAGCTTCTTGGCAGACATGCAGCCTTTAAAATCCTTTCCGTATCAGCAAGTTCCACCAAAGTAAGACAAAGTAACAAAAATACATCTTATCCATAATTAAATTTGAAGGATAACAGGATGTTCATTTGAAGCAATTATTAATACCACATTCCTTTATATAAAACTTACAGATTTAATTTTAACTTCATTGAGGGCAGGGGCTGTTTCTTAGTGTTCTTAGCTCAGAGACTGGTACAGAACTCAAGACATAGCAGCTCTTTAAGGAATGTTTCCTAAGTAAATAAATTAGTAAATGAATGGATTTGAAATCATGGAGAATAACAGATGAAACAAATCCATGTCTGCTTCTACCAAACCATTTAGGAAAAGCAAAAATAAATTATTACTGTGCGTAATTAAGTTTAAAAACTTCACCTTTTCTCTAAAGAAAAAACATATATGCATATAAAATGAAAACACTTGGCTTTAAAGTCAGAAAATATGGACTGTAAACCTGTACCATTTTAAATAAGGAGAAAGTTGCAAAAGAGACATTTTAACTACATGCACTCATATCCACAGACATAATACTCATGTTTCCTATTACACCTATAGGTTTAGATGCATTGTTTGACAGTGTATTGCAGAACTATGAAGATGTTCAATAATTTTGTTCTCTGATTCACCATCAATTAGGTTAAGTCCAGTGAGCAACTCATTAAGGCTACAATGTAAGGATTTTGGAATATGTAATGTTAGTCAGTTGCATTAACTATGTAAGACTTTTATTTTTATTCAGTAACGGGGGCATTTGTGATTACATTTTTAAATGAGTGTCAAACACTGCTGGTTCATACAACATATGAAAGCTGCCAAAACAGCTCTGCTGGTTAGCAGGAAGCACCATGGTGTCAAATCCGTATGCAAATGAAGAAACATTCAGATCACCCAAAAGCAGAAATGTTTAAAAGTTGAAGCTTCCTTTGACCACTAAGATCCCACTGAGATAACAGAGACTATGTATGGAATATCACTTTGGAATTCTTTCTAACCGTGGCCTAAGAACAGTCTTTAAGGTACAGAAAACTTGAATAAGGGATCATGATGCCATGTTTCTTGGTGTAAAAAAGCACTAAAAAGAAACTCGGTCTTGCTCTGACCAACATGTCTCAGTTGGTTGAGCACTGTCCCACAAAGAGAAAGGTTGTGGGTTGGTTAGGGCACACATCTGAGTTGCATGCCTGGTCCCCAACTGGGGCATAAGCAAGAGGTAACTGATCAATGTTTCTCTCATACCTTAATGTTTCTCTCCCTCTCTTTCTTTCTCCTTTTCCCACCTCTCTAAAAAAAATAATAATTTTTTTAAAAAAGAAAGAAACTCAGCTTTACTATCTCTCCATTATATCATTGCAGGCAATAAAAGTAAAATAACGTGGGCTCAAAAATAAGTGGAAGAAGTCAAACTGTGAAAAGTTGAAGGGAATCACCCAACTACTGAATGTAAAAATTGATCTGATGTTTAAAATTCTTAGAATTCATTCTCAGTTTTTGAGCATGAGAAAAGATCTTTGATAAGATCATAAAGTCTTCTCAGAAGGGAAATGGACAGAATTAAGACATTATAAGGGTTTTTTGCAACTGATTTATAGTATCAATGTCCTTTAATGTAATCTCACTCCTCTTCTTCCATTTACATAACCTGTAGCATATAGTCATAATTACTAATGTGTAGGTAGGTAGCATGCTTGCTCAGCAAGAGGAATTCTAGAATAGGTAAAGTAATGCACACTTTAGAGGAGAAAAAGGTAAATATACAAATGTTTACAATACAAATACAATGAAGAGATTACAGGAACATTGTAAGAAAAATACTTATTAATCATGAACTGTCTTGTGTGGGAAGAATTAAAAATAATGCTGAAATAATTCCTTGGCATATTTTTCATTACTCTATATGAAAAATTCTATGATCAGATTAAGATGTTAATAACTTTAATCACTGGTGCCATGAGTGTGATTTCTTTTGATTATTATTTTGACCTCTGAGTACTTATAAATTTGTCATCTTTTGTTACTACTTTAGTTAGCACACTACTATTCCGTTACTACTTTCTTATATGGCTTCTCCTAAAATTCTACTCAGACTGTTTTTGGCGCTTGACAATTTATGCACTTCCTCAAGTTCTGAAAGTGAAGCTGAAAAATGAGAGGTACTTCAGAGTAAAACAGAAATAGCAAATGTTAACAATTTACAAATATGATTGGACATAGCTTCATAGAAGGCCCAATGCACAAATGCATGAAGTGAATCGAGGAATTGATCAGCTACTAGCAAGAGGAACTGCACCATTTGGAGAAGGCACATACAGAAAAGCTGTAGCGATGTAAAGTGCAAAGAATAATAAAAACACCAGTGACAACTGGAAAGTTCCCATATCTTTTCCACATAACATTCCTATTGCAAATAGTTCACAAACTTTAATAAACTATATAGCATTGACCCTGAAATTTTAAAAGGTGTATCTTTCAAAAGTATACAGAAAGCAAAATAAAATCTTTTTTTTTTTTGGTTTATGTCCAGTTGTGCTCTTTTATTCACACTAGGCCACAGGTAAACACTTTTGTACAACACTTTAAACAATAATCTTTGTTTGTCAAAGGTGTCTGGCAAACTATTGGGAGCTTCTGACTTTCCAATCCACTTAATTTCCAAATACAAGTTAAGTATCAAGTTAAAGATGCCAAGTCCCACAATATGTGTGTTTGTCTGTGCCCCTAGACAGGGCTGCAAGAGAGGAGGCTGGAACGCCCAGGTCATCCAGGAAGGCAGAGAGTATGGGGAGTCTGTACCAGCCTAAAATTCTAGTTTTCTTTAGGGAGGAATGCAAATTTTTACTATTTGTACCTGTGAGAACCATACCACCACACTGAAGGCATAAGTCAATCCAAAGGAGTGACACGCATAATGAACCTCTGTCAGTTTAACACTCACACTGAAATACAATAAGTACTCAATGGGTACCAGGTAAAGCACAGTATCCTAAAGTAGTCCCATCCCAGTCAGTGTGGCATTTGAAACACACTTGCAAACAGTTTCACCTTCCACCAGCTTAGCTAAATTTACCGAAAGTCATTTATAAAAACATTTCTAAGTCTGCAATCTACTATTGCTAACATTTAAATAGCAATCAAGTGCCCAGAAAATGAGAGTGAGCTTACTGATGACATACTAAACATCCTCCTTCCTCCAATTTCTCCTATACTATGCAAAATTCACCAACATCATGAAGGAATAAAGGCAAATTAGGGCAAGGATATCAAGGAAAAACTGAACTAAAATGTAACCCCGATGTGTATTGGAAGATAGAAGTATAGGGATGTTGAATGATTTTAACTAAGTAAACAGGGATATCAGGAGTTCAGGGATGGCTTTGAAAACTCAGCTCGATTGTAATTAATTTCCTAGGTTCTTCATCCTTTTCTTCATCCATTTTTTAAATGTCCCCAAAGGAAGAAGAGCGCCCTTTTCATAAGATTGTGAACAGGTGAAAATCATTATATTTCATTACTGAGCAATGAGCTCAACGGGCATCAACGCCCCTCCAGTCTGCATTCCCCTCCTGGACAGATGCTCTATGGGGACCCTTAGGCAAGGCAAGCTCTGCGCTGGAGAGAACACCAAGTGCTGAGAGGGCTCAGGACTACGGTGGGGATGTTGATTATACAGTCAGCTGCAATTTTAAAGAAAGAATTGAAATTTAACTATTTGTTTTCTAAGCCCCATCAATAATATTCACTTCAATACTGGCTGTGTTAAACAGCAGTTAAAAATGGTTTAATCAAAATATTTTAAGAATCTGCTACACACTGAAAACTTGAAATTCTGTTCAATGATCTATTTTTAAGTCTCACCCTTTATTACAGTTAAAGAAGTACAAGAAAGGCCTTGGGGAAACCAGTTATTCTCTAGGTCTTATTAAAAAAAATCAAATCAGTTTACATTTACTGAACATTTGCCTAGAGAGGGGAAGGCAGTTTATCTTCAGTTCTGCTTCTGCAAATTGAAAAATTTACCGCCGGTTTCTGTGGGAACCATAAATATTTGGGAGACACTTCCTGTCTGATTCTCCCATTTTGGCCTTAAGGAGCAACTGCAGATGCATGTGGGATAGGAGCCCCACCTCCTCAGGAGGAGAGAGGCGGCTGAAACATTAACATATGCTTTATCTACTAGGGTTTACTCTGCTTTACAGTCTGACCTGCTGTAAGCAGAATCTGATCTGCAGTAAATAGTGTCAATATAGTTAACTGGTAACATGGATAAGTGACTTTCTGAAACAAATACTTCTACAGAAGTAGAACTACTTATGACTAATACAAAGTTATAGATGCAAAAGAAACAAAACATAAAGCACAGCAAAAAATCAAATTATAAGCTAACAAGCAAAATAGAGACAAACACACAGAGGGCTGGCAGCTATGGCGGTATGGCGGGGCGAAGGTGGAGGGACTGAACAAAAAGGGAAAGTAAGGACTCGGGCAGGGACAACAGTGTGGTGATTGTCGGGGAGAGGCAAGTGGGGCAGTTGGAAGAGGGTATAGGGGGAATAAATGCTGACGAATATAAAATAAAATTAAATGAAAATAAAACTTTTAAATCAACAAAAAATCAAATTATATAAATAAAAGAAATTCAAACATGACTTTTTATTAACAACTATTCAAAGCAAGTATCAGTACTATTTCTTGAATCCTTGGATGAAGAGAACTGAAAAGATAAATACTGATAGGAAATATAAGGAAGAAATTCTCGAGGCTAATGAGCCCCTGATTATACCTGCCATGCTGTAAGACAAGAGGTGCACATCAAATGGCCACATGGCTCAATCTTGACATCTTTGTCGTTCTCAGCACAAATTTTACAGAGCTGAAAAGTGGAGCCCATTTCACAATATAATTCATATTGTTCCTGGAATTTGGGGGGAAGGAAAAAAGCAATGTTAATGTATCTGATGCATGAGCAGCTAATGCTGAATTTTCTCAAATACAATGATTCACAGCACATCCTTACACTTGATCATGTCGGGGTTATGGTGCCATTTGAGACATGATATAAATTGGTAATAATCATTTGGTTTACAAAATAATTTTCAAAAATATTTGAGCTTTCATTAGAAATTATAAAGGCTATTTTTTTACATCTCTGATATATTTAATGTTTTGTAGTATTCCTTTAGGAAGGGACTTGCTTAGACAGTCACAGTGATTCAAAAGACAATACTTACGGTTTTAAAAATCAATATAATTAACTTTATTTTCTTTGTAAATGCCACATATGCATCTAATTTTACTGTCAAAACACAAATATATACATGAATACAATGCTTCTGGCTGCATTAAACTATGTTTCTTAGATACCTATAGAATCCCGGAATGGAAGAAAAGCAGCACTTGCAAACCCCTTCCTTCATGGCAGGCGCGGAGGCCCTCATTTGCTGTCATGTCATTTCCCAAACACAACCAGATATACTGAACTTAAAAAAAATACTTGAGGGTCCATAGGTCTAAATTCTTCCCAAATCTATAGTAAATTTCTAATCCTAAATGTATGATCCTCACCTTACTCACTTCAGCAACCAAAACTGTTTTATAAAAACTCTTGATTTACTACTAGCTTAGAACATTCTGGCATAGTAAAATTTTCAGTGTTCAAATATTGAAAAGAGCTCTTACAAAGGATATATAAATATATTGATGAATGTAAAGAAAATACAAAAAAGTGTTGTTTAATAGAGATACAAATATTATAGAAATAAAATTTGTTTAAATAAAATAATGTTCTAATCTAGAAAGTGCCTATGTACTTGGTACTAAGATAAATAAATGACAATATTTAATGCTTAACCTACCAAAAAATCTTACAGTGTCTGTGAGAAAAAAATGTATACATGCATAGATTTACATACATACACATATACATTATGTGTGTAAATTGTGTCCATGATAATAAATGTATGTGTGACCATAAAAGTAATTTATTTTTAAAATTAAGGAAAAGATAAAAAGGAGACTAGATTAGTGTAGAAAAAGATAAATCTGAAGTAACCCAATATAAATTATAAATCACCGAAGTCCCTAAAATACATAAGTATTTATGTTGGTTTTGACATCCAAGGGTTTTTTGACATCCAGATTGGTTTTGACCAATCTACAATGATCAAAAAATTACCACAAGCTAAAAACCTAGATGCAGAATTTAATGCATCATAAGGAGTCAAGTATTTATGAGATGTTTAAGAGAATGATACTATTCCTGGATATGTATTTTCAAACAACAGTTTTATAAAGAGGGATTTTATAAAATGTAAAATATTTTATATTTAAATGTTATATAACACAGAATTACTACACAATTTAAAAATGGAAATAATATATTAAATTTTAAAAGCTGCCCACAAAGCTGTACATATGTCAACAAGTATGTTTCATATAATATCAAGACTACTGAGACTAAAAGCTGAAGAATCAGAAATAAAATTAAAAAAATTATCTACAGTCTTCCTTCAAACCTATAATTTGTTTCTTATCAGATTTTTATTTATTATACAAAGCACAAAAATACATGTTATAAGACATTTTAAAACTAGATTACATGTAAAAAGATCCTTTCCTCCTCTCCCTGACTCTCCAAACATTTGTGCCTCCTCAGTTAAAACACTGTTACCAGTTTGGTGTTTGGTAATTTTCATTTTTTTTAAATATATTCTTATGTTCATATTTGGTCATTTCTGTACTTAAAGAAATGGAACTTAATGTAATTTTACTAAATAAAGTGTTCTATCACTGAACTTTTCATAAACAGAAGATTTTTACATAAAATGCAGAGATGCCCATGTGGAAATGTAGTTACTACTACCCTCTTACTAATGACTTTATGGTATAATACAGTATGAGTAATATATGCTTTTTAACCTATGATAGAATATTTCAGTATTTTGTACTTTCACATTTTTATGAAACATGCTAAAGGGAACACTGGTGTACAGATCAGTGTGTATATGCAACTACCAAATGTATGAAATGTAGAGTCAAAGACATTTTTATTTAGATTTTGATCATGACTGAATGTCACACTCCAGAAAGCCTTTACGAAGTTATCCCCCCACTCATAATCTATGAGGCTGCCAGCAGTGAATTTATAAGATTGTAATGATTAATTTTAACTAGCTTCACTTATTCATTTGACTCTAAAAGTAATGCCATAATTATCCTAATCTGCTATGGAGTCTCCTAAGACTATGGCTCTGCCATATTTATCTATCTGCCTATGGGCTTATCTATCTCCCCAAATAAATAACAAAATTATATTGAAAGGAAGTCTATTAATAGCAGAAATTTTTATTTAAAAAGTGGAAAAAGTAATATGTTTTCCTTTAAAATAGCCTTAGAATTCCTTGGGTTATCTACTGCATTAAGTATGTGTACATGATTTTAGTTCTAGCACAAGTAGAGAATCTTATTTACATCAAAGGTATGATAAATACTTATATATTATAAACACATTTGCACCAACAATCCTTACCTGTGTAACTTTTATATGGTCATGTGGTGTAGGTTCACATAATCCAGTTAAATCAGGATTATAACTTCTCCCATCAGGATAAAGGTAGCTGGATTATAAATAGAAACTTTATTACTATAAACAGAGAAGCTTTAATTACAAGTAGGTTATTTAACCAGATTCTTTTATATGCAATCATACATCTGGACATTTCCTTTTTTATGTAACTCTATAATTATTTCCATAGTACAGGGTCTGGCAGAAGGAACGCCTTCTTGAGTGTGGTTGGTAGAGTGATAACATGGGTGTAATTATAGTTTTAATTTGAACATTTCACCTAAAATGTCATATGGTGTGCTTGAATGTGATATTGCTATGTTACAGAATTACATGTTTACGATTTTATAATAAAAAGAGGGCGGTATTTGTGCTAGACACTGTAGTTATTTTTTAAAACATTTAAAATCTAGAAATCATTTTCATGTAAGAAATATATAATGAATATGGACTCTGCCACTAAGCAATGGTTTTCAAATAAACATCCTACTATGTTTGTTAGGTAAGTTAAACATTTGTTTTACTGGTCCCTCATGTTCCATTCTAATATACTTTGAATACACATCTTTGCAAATACTACATCTTTCACCCGAAGCACAGTCAATGTTCAGTGTACCATTTCGCATCGCACTTGACCACACGAGGAGAGAAAACTGGAATTAAGCCCCCGGCTCCCCCGGAAGTCACTCAAACACCTGCACGGGGTTTCCGTCCCTCCAGGCTCCCATCCCTGTCTCCACCTCACCCTCCTTGTACCCCATACACGCACTTAGGGAAATCAGAAAGTGTTACAACCCCGGGTTTCACATACTTCAAATTAAGCTACAGAGTGATTTATAAAGTTCCATTATTAGAGAGAATTGAAATAAGAAATAAAAGTCATAGTGCTAATGCCATCTTGCTATGGTAAAACCGTTTTTACTAAGAAATTCACTAGAATAAAGTTTGTGTTGGTAAATCCCTATTTTATGTTTTTAAAAGATTTTATTTATTCATTTTTGACAGAGGGGGAGGGAAGTAAAAAGAGAAGGAGAGAAACATCAATGTGTGGTTGCCCCCTACCAAGGCCCTGGCCTGCAGCCCAGGCACGTGCCCTGACTGGGAACGGACGCGCCCATCCTTTGGTTCGAAGTCCAGTGCTCAGTCCACACAGCCACACTGGCCGGGGCCTATTTTAGAGTTTTTCAAATGGCAGTATTACTGCTGGATTTTGTCAATGTATTAAGTATTGGTTAATTTTGTTCAGTATCTTCCTGTTCTAGATGGCCTAAATGAAAGCTAAAAATATACTATTACAATGGTGAATATTTTAAGGGGCACACCATACTAGAACTACTCTCTGAAGTAACAAAGAATATTTATCCTTAAATGAAGAGTCTATAAATAGGTTACTGTTGAAATATATCCAGAAAAATCAGAGAAAAAAGAACTTAAGAGAACAGACAATTCACAAATGGTAAGGAACAAATCAGTTAGATATATTGCTTAAGATTTAGGAAAAGAAGTTGACTATATCTGAATGTGACTCCAATGTAGCGTGTCATTATGGAGATGAAATAAAAGTCTACAAATATTAAATGAGGGGTAATAAGCAAAGGTTGTTTAGTAACTTTCTTTTTATACACTACAGTGGCCAATTTTAAAAATCATTATATAACATTTTGATCATCACACTTCAAAAACATGTAGAAATTCTAGGAAAAAGTCAGAAATAAAAGATTACAACTACGATAATAATGTTGTTAAGAACAGGTTAAAAGGCTCTTTTTATTTAATGTATGAAGGGCAAATCAATGATTACCATCCTCATTAAACCAGGAGGGCACTGATGAGCCCCTTGTACAGGCAGTGAAGGAAGAATCCCGGCTGCTTATCAAAACCAACGCACCGCCTGTGTCACACGATGCTGGGATAACTACTGGAACAGCTGACCCTGGTGACAGCTGGACTAGACAGATGTATCCCTCCCCTATTTTTACTGATCTTAAAACAAAATGTGATCTAATTAATATAATATCTATTTTAATCTCACCTAAAATCTGATCTGTTTTAAAATCATATTAAAATTTCCATCTGATCTATGTTTAATGTAATCTATCCCTAAAGGAAAAATTCAACTCCCCTGAAAATGTGTGTGTGTGGAAATATTAACAGTTAATTTTCACAGGTGTTCAGAGGCTAGACTGCTGATTACAAATCACAGCTTGTTATTTTTCACTGGCTTTGGAAAAATGCTAGATGGAAGGCATTGTAACAATATAAATAGATTACATCAACTGACAGAATGTCCACTCATGACCTCTACTTATAAATTAAAACTTTAAAACAAATTTTCTTAAAAACAAAAATCCCGCAATCATAGTGCATCAAAGGAGCGCACAGGAATTTCTGCTGCACTAGAGGCAAAGTATAGATAACTGAGAAGAGCGCATTTATGATAATTAAGAGAAAAAGAGAGAACATACTTAGTACCACAGACTGTCATACAATTCGTACATAACTATTTCTAGAAAGCTCATGACTTTAAAAAATGTATTATTTTTCTTCACATAATCCCATCACTCATTTATTTTCTTTTTCTTGCGATTATTTTCGGACGATAAAAGGTAAATCATGTGCTCTTTGCTGACTCAGGTGGGTCTCCTGCTAGGTTCCTATCACAACCCATGCTGCAGCAACCTGAGTCCCGTATGTCTCCATGCTGCTCAGCCAGGCAAAGGGCCATAAAGTCTGTGGGATGAAGTGACACTGAAAATACAACCAAAGGACGGAACAGAGTAGGACTAAACGAACGACAGATGTGTTTACTACGAAGGGACTTGCCAGGTTGCCTGCACTTTGTGGGTGAGCAAAAGAAGGTTTACTGTTGTTCGTATGGAAAATAACACAGTAATTAATACATAATACAAGAACAAGATATTTGGCATACTCACAACTATAAACCTACCTTTGCCCACCCCTGTGTGTGTGTGTATGTACAGTTTTACGTCTATTTTAAAACAACTTTTAAGTTGCAACTTCCTTTCCTATAAAAGATATAAACTCACTGTTATTTCAGTTTGGAATTTATTTGCTAGAATATATAGTTAAATTCAAATAATTAAGTTACCTTAAAGTGACTATTTTAAGAGAGGAACAATAAAAAGTAAGGAGCATCCACTTCGTACTCTTGAAGTAAAAAACAACCATGTCATAGCCTCGCTACCCATTCTCTCCATCACAGAGCAGTCTGTGTGTTTCTCATCTGTGAATACAGCCTGACACCCATTTCTCATACTCACAATCCTTCCCTGCTGCCATCAATCAGGGCTTGAAATAAGGGCTTGTTATGAGGTATGGTCTGTAAGATATTGCCATCCCCTGTCACATAGCCGATGGCCCATTGTCCCAATCTGGTGCAGCTTAACCGGAAAATGTAGCTGTAAAACATGAAAAAAAATATGTTGAATCACATTCAAAAGGTATATAAGTACTATATAATTTAAGTTTCTTAAGCAAAAAAATAAACAGAATCATTTAGAATTCCTGATATAAATTTTTCTTCTAAATTATTTTAACACTGTTCTACTTCTCCATCTATTGATCTGTAACAGAAGCAATCACTATTTCATTTAAATATTTCCACAGTTATATGAGAAAATAATTTAAGTTGTAAACTATCAAGGGATTTATTGCTATTACCAGTAGCGGATACTCTGTATAAAAGTGCTGATGGTAGGAAAGAGCTATGACATAAATCATTTTCGAGTAGTAAAATAAGCAAGGAAAAGTTTAATCTGTCCATATTAGACAGAAATTGATCCAGTTTCTACTGTGGAATTCAATATTTTATAATTTAAAAATTGTTAATAACTTGCAGTTTTGGTTGTTAATAACTTATATTATTGTTTAAAAATATGCTTTTTCTTTCAAGTATTTTTTTTTAAAAAGCTGACCTATGAATACTAAGAACCTTACTTTGGTTATAGAACCTTTTGAAAGAAGTTCTCAGAAAAGTTTATAAACATTGTCCTCAACAGCTTGAAATAGAATATCAACCTATCATTTATTACATCCTTAGTCAGATCAAAAAACTCCACACAGCCTGGCTGGTGTAGCTCAGTGGATTGAGCATGACTCTGCAAACCAGAGGGTCAATTCCCAGTCAGAGCACATGCCTGGGTTGCTGGCCACATGCCCAGCTGGGGGTATATGAGAGATGGCCACACACTGATGTTCCTCTCCCTCAAATCCCCTCTCTACAAAAATACATACATAATATCTTAAATATATATATTATATATTTTTTTGTTTAAAAATTCCACACAGACCAATGACTGCCAGTTGTATCCAAAATTCAGTACAACCTGAAGCACCCAAATGTTCTTGGAAAAGGCCCAGCTATTCTCTTTGCCATGAAACCACAGTTGGAACACTTTCCAAGACAAAGGACCAGTTAAACAGATATATTCTGTAAAGCAATTATTTATCAAAATTACTTGATTTATTCGCTGAGTTTTTCTAAACACATTTTTAATCTCTATCATATTTTACATATTATATAATTTACCACACACTAAATGTCTCATCTTTACCTAAAACTTAGTAGAATAAATCATTACAAAGCAAGTTGGGAAGAAAAGGAAGACATCTTTCCAAAGAGCACTATCTATTTATTAAGAAACTATTCCTGCCCTGGCTGGTGTAGCTCAGTGGATTGAGCGCGGGCCTGCAAACCAAAGGATCGTGGTTCGATTCCCAGTCAGGGCACATGCCTGGGTTGCAGGCCAGTTCCCAGCAGGGGATTCACATGAGAGGCAACCATATATTAATATTTCTCTCCCTCTCTCATTCCCTTCCCCTCTAAAGATAAAAAAAAAAACAACAGCAATTAAAAAAAACTATTCCGATGGTGATGAGACCCAGCTTTTGCTTCCAACAGTCATTAACTAGCTCCAGATCTTTATTTTCTTAAATAGTACTTTTAAAGATTTTATCTATTTATTTTTAGAGAGGGGGAAGGGAGGGAGAGAGAAAGAAACATCAATGTGTGGCTGCCTCTTGGGGGCCCTTCACTGGGGACCTGGCCCACGACACAGGCACGTTCTGGTGACCCTTTGGTTTGCAGCCCTGCACTCAATTACCTGAGCCACACCAGCCAGGGCCATCTCCCGATCTTTTTTTTTTTTCTTTTTATGGAATGCTTCACGAACTTGCATGTCATCCTTGTGCAGGGGCCATGCTAATCTCTGTATTGTTCCAATTTTAGTATATGTGCTGCTGAGCACTATCTATCTCCAGATCTTTAAACAAGAGACCTTAAAGGGACTGAGCTTCCTTATTATATTCAGAGCACCAAACAAGATAATTTCCCAAATAACTTCTCTGTTAAATTGGTAAGACTGCAGAATTCCACCTGTATCACATCTTTCAAATCATACTCCAGGAATAAAACAACACTCTGACGCCAATCTAGACAGTAAACAATATGGAAATTCCTGCCTTGGGAGATCCTTGGATGAATCAGAATGACTCATTAAATCCACTGTCAATGTGCAAAATATATGACCAACTGCCATGGTCATAAAGAGAACCAATTCTCCTTAATCTTAACAGAAGACCTCAACATGAGCTAAACCATTTTCTGCACCCAGTGCTTTCTTTGTATATACCATACAAATTATTAAATATAAAAAGGGAGGAAATCTTCATTACAGCAAAGAAGAAAGGCATCAACAATATTAGCTTGTACTTGAAAAGACTATTAAAAGATACACAAGCACCATCTGCACTACAAATCAATAAAAATGATATTAGAAGAAAAAGACAGACTTAAAAAATAGGAACGAAATTCCTTCCCAAAATGAAATGACCTGTATATGAAAATAAGGACACTGAAAATGAGAGGCTGTGAGGAAGGGTCTCCACTGTCATTACTGCCATACCCAGCACTTTACTCGCCATGGCACCAATGGCTAGTATGTGCGTAATGCATTTCCAATTAAGATGTGGGGAAAATGCACTAACCAGGAATGACACATTTTCTTATCCCAGATTTGCCATTAATAAGGTGTGGTTTCTTGGGCAAAGTCAAAGGAACTGACCAAACCTCTGTGAATCTCAGTTTATCATCTGGAAAGTAAAATAACTTCTGTGACTGTAAAGAAGCATGGGGTATAATAGAAGTTCTCATGAACATAAAATTGGCTTGGATTATAATAATGGATCATATATGTTTATGTATTTATATGTCTTTACATGTACTCATGTGTTTATCACAAAGTCAAAATGAGTATCTTAAAAAATCACTTAAAAATGAACATAAAACCAATACACAAATATATACATACAATTTTTAAATTATATTTTATTGATTATGCTATTACAGTTGTTCTAATTTTCCCTCTATGGCCACCTCCACCCAGCACCCCCCATTCCCACAGTCCATCCCCACACCATTGTTCATGTCCATGGGTCATGTGTATATTCTTTGGCTACTCCATTTTCTATACTGTACTTTACATCCCCATGGCTATTCTGTAACTACATATTGATGCTTAATTCCCTCACTTCTTCACCCATTCCCCACACCCCCTCCCAACTGACAACCATCAAAAAGCTCTCCATATCCATGATTCTGACTCTGTTCTTGTTTGCTTAGTTTTTCAATTCAATTGTTGACAGATACAATTTTATACACAAACACAGGTACCATGAAAGTAGTCTATATGCTAATATTCCACTCCAATTTGAAAATCAGAACTCTGAGATCTAATAAATCTCTAAGTTCATCAAGTTACACAGTATTCTCTTCCAGTTTATGAGCACTAAGTTTCAGAACAAGCACAAGGCATCCGTTTGAAGGATTTGCTAAAGAAACGCTGTTGTGGTGTTATCAGCACTGCCATCCCTCCACCCCAGGGGTTCTACTGATATACTCGGAAAGTTATGAGAAAGGACTCTAGGTCGTCATCACATCCCAGAGCGGGACTATCAAAGAGCCGTACCTGCCCGGCTTGGTGCTGTATTTCTGCAGTCGTGCTTTCACTTCATCATAGGTGAGAAAGGCCATGTAACCTGGATGTGTTACGGCTAAGAAGTTCCAATTCCGCAAAATAGAGCTCCAAGGCTAAAAATATAGATAACGTATATTACCCAGATAATACCAACCATCAATTACATACTAACCCGTCATTTACTATACTTACTGAAATTCTCCTGGATATTTTTAATGTGAATTTGAGCTTAAGTGGCTTAGGTCAAGTTTTATTTTCTAACAGCAAACGTACAGAAATGTATTCTCTTTTTGAAAAAATATCCTTAAGTGGAAAACTTTTCTTAGGAATAGAAAACATAGTACAAAAAGAAAAACCACATAATTTTTTACTTACAAATATACACAGTAGAGCACCTGTGATTATTTTAAAACTTAAATCATATCACTCTTCTGTTCAAAACCCTCTAATTTGAGTAAAAGCCAAAGTCCCCATAAGTGGCCTAGAAGGACCTTACAGGGTTGATCCCAGTTCCCTTTCTTCCCGGCCTGCTGTGATGTCACCTGCTGTGATATCTCCCACTTTCTGCTCTCCTCCAGGTGTGCTGGCCTCTTGGCTGTTGGCTTGAACACAATTGCACTCTCTCACCCCACAGCCTTTGCATTTGCCAAATCCTCTACCTGAATTCTTTCTCTAAATATCTATGATTCCTTTCTCCAAACGTCACTTTCTCAATAAAGCCTTACCAGACCTCCCTTTTAAAATTGTTACCTCTCATAACATTACTTATCTCCCCATGTGTTCACTGCTGTACCTGTGGGCATTTCATTTTATAGAACAAGAAACCATATCAGAGAATGTAAGTTGTCTTACACATTAACCATAAGCTACACAAGAGTAAGGAACAAGCCTGTCTTGCTCAGCAAAGGGATACTGGCACTGATGCACGGTGTCAGAGACCCAGTGATCATGCAGGGATCCTTGCTGAATAGCTCCCCTCATTAGTGACTTGTCTAAACGGCCTTGACTCCTACGCCAGTGTTCTTTCTGTGGTAACACGCCCTTGTACTCACATTTGGTTTACCCTTGCACAATTATAAAATTAGAAAAGGTTTACAATTTACCAAGTTATGTAAAAATCTTTCCCAGAAATACTACACACAAACACTCACACAAGGTTTGTATCATTCTCTCTTTAATGTGATTAGTTGTCCTTCCAGTTAGTTACCATGGCAAAAGAAAAAAGGCAATCATTAACACATAACTTTGCTTGAGGGTGTAAATGAATCTCTGCTGTATTTTTAAGGCTGAAGCTACATTTTTCCCTCAGGGAATTGGCAGCATACTGTATCTGATGTGCCAGATTATTAATTCAAATCTTCTACATAAAAGAAAAAAACAGTTTATATTGCCAAGTGAAAGTTGTAGAAATAGTCATCCTAGAAATGATACTGGTAGAGAGAGAGCTTTTGCTTTGGTTTGTTTTGACACTTGTTCCTCATTATCATTAAGTGTTTCAAATTTATAAGGCAGAATTTGTCAAATACAACATCCCTTGAGATGAGGCTCACAAGGGCAAGAATGATTAAGTAATGAAGAGTTTTTTTAACTTTTTCTGACAAATAGTATCTTTAAGGCATTAAGAGATTTCCCCATCAAGCTGAAATACCTAACTGGGCAAAAAAGAAGCTCTAGAGAATACTATTATGAAAGTCTTGTCTACGTACTTGAACAAAATATATATTTAATTTCTCAAGGCATGACTAAAAATTGTATAACTACACTTGGAAGAATAGCAGCATATATTTTAAAAAACCCTGCTATTACAAGCACTGAGTTGTGTTTTCTTTTATTTTTTCTGCTTCTCTATCTACAAATGGAAAGGATGGAAAGAATATAAAATATTTGGGACACTTCCACTAAAGTCCACACAAATTAATGGAAGAGCCAATTTTTAAAAATGCTGAACTTTATGGAGAGCCAATGCACAGATCAAAATACAAGTGAAAAAAATGAAGTTTGAGTTTTGAGCCAACTACTGCATAATTCTTAGTACATAATCCAGAGGACCAGCTTCTAACTACAAAAATATTTATGTAATAGAAAGAGTCTGTGTACTGTTTTTCTTGCGAATGCAACCCACATTCAGAAACACGTGGTCCTTGTGTTGTTGCTTTTTTAAGTATTTTGCCAACTAATGGTTTAAAGAAGGCAAAACAGAGTGCTTTAGAAAGTAAAAATTGTTTTTGCAATTTGTTTTAGAGATTAAAGAAAATCTTTTTACATACATTAAAACAAAATTACTTGGAAATTTTGAATGACTAGTAAATAAATTAAGGAAGTGAACTAAGGAGATTAGCCCCTCCATTATCCCAAGTCTATTATTTTCAAAAACAGCAATTTACAAAGCTACAACTTGTGCTGGAAGAGGGGCCTCAAGGTGGTCTGCCCAGATACTTTTTCTTACTTGCTACAGGGAGTGACTTTCTTCCTCTTATTCTTCTCACCATCCCATTGATGCTACTCATTCTAAACCATTCATCCCTTATCCTGTTGTCCCTCAAATGCATTGCTCCATTTCTCAACAACCCAGTCTTCTCTAGTTGTAGGGAAAAGTAAGCAAAAGGGGGAACAGCAGCCGCAGGGAGAAAGAAGAGAGAAGCGAAACCCCTGTTTTTTCCACTCCAGGACATTATTACCTACCAATCCTAGGTCTCCGAACGACCTGGAGAGGAGAAGATTAAAGGCAGAATAAAGAGGAAGAAATACAGAAGGTGGCCACTGCAAGTTCTTTCCAGTTATTCCCCAGTATTTTTTCAAGTTTTGGCAAAATAAGAGAATGAGGGAAGAGATGAAGAAAGGGTAACTAGTAACTAGTATCCAGTTTCTTGCTTCTTCCATGTCCTGGGCATTTTCATCTCCTAGCCTCTGCTGACTCCTTCTCCAAACCGTATGCTAGTTATCAATGTCAGACCCCAGTCCGAGAGAGTACCCTGCCCACTTTCAGATCCCAGTCTGCTAAACATTCCACATCTAACAATTTAGAGCGAGAGGAATTCGCTGCCCATTAACCCCCAATATCAGAGCTGCAGAAGGATGTGTGTTCATGCAGTTACAAAACTATACTTTCACACAGAATACATAATTATGACTTAAAACTATTACTCAATCTTTAAGGTTGTGTAAAAAAGAAAAGACCAGTAAAAGTTAATGCACTTCTATTTCACTTTTCTATTCATAGAAGCAATTTTATCATTTTAAAGTACATGTATGATTATTCATTTGAATAATGAGACCAAAAGAAGTGAATAATCTCAGAAATATATAGAGGCTAATATGAATTCTTTAGCTACTTCTGTATTGTGTGTTTTAAAAGAAACTAGGCATTCTTTGGTCCACAAAGAACAGTTTGGTTTTGTTATCTAAAACTTTTCATAGTAGTTCTGATTAAAAAGATGGTTTTCCTCTCCCATCCCAATGAGCATAAACAAGATATACTAACAATATATTAAGAGAATTTAGGCTATTTTAAAGTGAAACAACTTTTAGGAAAATATATGCACATACTAAATATCAGTTGGGGTAAGTGTTTAACCAATATTAAGTTGTCCTAATATTTTTTATAACTGAGGTATTCCAGCATTTAACAATCATACTAAATATCATCCAGGCCCCCTGCCCACCCCAAAAAACACAATCCTCCTAGAATGAAGAGTTAGGTTTATGAAAATAACCTTTGTTCTCTTCCTTCACAAGTAGAAGAAGTAAAGCGCCTACTGCTTAGAGTGTCTTTGCACCATGTTAAATAAGGGGTTTGAAAAATTATCAGAAATCTTTAAAGAAAGGATAAGTTCCATTATAAAATGATCAATATCAGTTAATACAACCTTTTTCTAAAATTTATCTTAAAATTATATAAGCTGAGCACCTATACATACCAAAGGAATAATCATGAAACTGCTGTAAATTGAAAATAAGCAAAAGAACACTCTTTGTAGTCATATATCTAATACCTTATCCTATATGCTTAGGCAAAATTATGACTTTAAAGTTGTAATAAAGCAAAATATATTCTATGAGTATTGTTGACAAGAGTTAATTTGCCTTCTGTTAACAGGTTCTTTCATAAATTAAAAGTTAATCACATGCAATCTTGTTTTCTTACATAAATCAGTCACCCAATCTTTGCAGGCCAATGTCCAGTCACAAACCACAGAAGCCAAATACTTACATCATGGCAAACATGAAAACCAATATTATACTCTTAATGTTTGTTGAAAGCATGTTTCAAACAGAATAAATCTTACTACAGACTAAAATAATAGAAAACTGCATCAGAATGTAAGCAAGCCTGATTTCTATATTCCTTACTATATAATTTATCATAAAGATTTTAGGAGGGATGCTTTCATTATGTGACTACTTGAATCAAATTTCAGGTCTTTATGTTGAGGGTAAGTCCATTAAGACACACAAAAGAGTAAAATGATAGCATCCAGCTTTTATCATATGACAGCTGCTTTCTCTGAATAGCTATGTAAAGACAATTATAAAGGACTGGCTAAAAAAAAACAATAAACTACACAAGATGGTTAACCTCAAAATCATATACATTAGAGACAAAATAGAAAAAAGTCTTAATATTCCAAAAGAGAAACTTGTTAAATGATCTATTATATTGATGGAATATTAGTAGCAACTGAAAATTAAAAGGTATACTGATGAAAATATTTTTGACATGGAAAGATGTTTATAACACATGACTGAACAAGCAAATGAAGTGGTGGAACAGGACACCCAGAGTGATCTCCTATACAGAACTGGGTAAATGTGCCGTTTATTTCCAAGTTTATGTACTGATTACCTTCTCACCTAACGAATGTGGAGGCAAAGGAGAGAGGCTGGGATACAACCCCAGCAAATGCCCAAATGTAAAAGCTGCATTATATCAAATATTGGGCAAAAAAAAAGACTAAGAAAGTAAAGTGAAAACTAAATAAGGAATTTAAAACAAAGCTCCTTTGCATGAATCTTTTCAACACTAATAAGCAACCATTAGGCTCATAGCACCTGACAGTCCAAACAAACTCTAAACTTACAGCACTGGCCAAAAACTTACTGTAGTGACTGGCTTTAAAATTACACACTACAAAGAATGAGACTGTTTCCAACACGTTTGTGTGTTTGTGCCTGTGCATGCATGTGTACGACAGAAACTCATACACACAAATGCAAGTGTGCACCGCACACACACAAATGCAAGTGTGCACTGCACACACACAGAAGGGGAGGATTAGGTGAATGAAAACTTACCTGAAATAGCCTGGTAAAAATATCAAATTCAAAAACTGAAATATAATCATTACAAGTTAAGTCAATTGTTGATTTTAGAGCCATTGCTTCCAGGCCAGAGCTAATTTGATGGACCTCATGAAGGCACTGTCTAAATACTTTCCATGGCACGATAGTTCTGTGCAAGAAAAAAAAAGAGTAATTGAATCAAGAGTCATTTAAGACATACCTTCCATTGAAACAGCAAAATTCAATCATAACATTAACATAATTGCATTTGTACTGAAAGACAAATAGTTGAGAATATTGTTCATAATTTAGAACACATGTAATGGGTTTTGCTAATTGGATTATTTTCCATTTGCTAAGAATATGACAAAAATCTAAATCAATATTTCCCTCAAACAGCACTTGACTATCACGGTATTTCTAAAAATACATGTGAAAGAAGGTATTAGGTCTAAGTCCTGTATGTCTGATCTCTTTGTGTATACAAGATTACTTAACTTTAGAATCAAGTTAAATTTGCCCCCTCTATTTATTTCCTTAAAATAATTACAAGACAACGGGATCATATAATAGAACCTTTTGTTCATTGTGCCATTCGTCTACCATCTTGCATCGGTGGAAAGTCATTAAGACATTTCAGCTGCCACCCCAATGTTTTCCGCAGAGATGAAACGCATATGTGACCTAACCTTTCATATAATGCAGAGGGGAATCTTAATACCTTCTTATAAGACTGCATATATTTAAATCTTTTCTTCACAATATCTCTTCAGAAAACAGACTCAAGCAGAACAGACTAACTTGGTCCCATCTTATCCCAACCCTCCCATGAAGTGTCACACAAATGCACAACTTTCATATTCATTAAATAAGCATCCACTGCTGTGCCTGTCAAACCTGAGCGCGCACCAGAATCACCGAAACGACTGTTAATACAAAAATTGCTGATTCTCAACTCAAGGTATTCTGATTCAGGATGACTGGTGGGGCCTGAGAATTTACAGCTCTGACAAGTTTTCCAAGAGATGCTGATGCTGCCAGTCTGGGAACGACATTTGGGAGTCACTGATCTGTTGTATCTATTAATTGCTAAGGCAAGGCATGTTTCTACAGAGCAATCTCACTATGGAAACACAAAATACCATATCCGTCCTTGAGAACACACATTTTCAGGATTCTAATGCTAAGGAATATAGAGGCAGAATATTTAAGGAAGTGCTGGAGGAAATCCAAAGGAGTGCTCTGTGGCAAGATGAATAAATGAATGGTGAGCCAGGCTTACAACACTATGCTGCAGTTACAAGAAAGTTTGGGTCTAATAGTCCATTAAAAGAAAAAATATGAGTCTGAATACATCAAAAGGCTTTTCTCTATGTAAGAAAAAAACAGGAAACCACAGAGAACCGAAGAGAGACACCACATCAGATGCCATTTAGAAGAAACACACATCAGGCTCTGATTAAGGTAACCAAAATGTTGCTGTTTTAAAAGAACAAGGAAAACTTTTGATAATTACAGAAGACTACTGATTGATAGTGAAACGTAAATATGCATTTTGTCCCGCTTCATTATAGTTACTATGGAAGTAATAACGATTAAGAAGCACAGTTTTCTTTTCCAAATTAAAGTTCCAAATATTCAACACACAAACGGGACATGAACAATGATAGTAGAAGTAAAAAAAAATTAAAGAACTACTGATTTAAGAATGGTATATGTTTTATCTTTTATGTGGAAATGCTTTAAAAGTTGTCTTGCATATAAAGTGTAAAAAGTATAAAAACTGATCAAATAGAAATCTTATTATCTATTCCCATAAAAAAGAGATACTCATCCCCATATTTAAGGTAGATACAGACCATAATTCTTTTGAATATCCAATAATTTCCCAGAGCAAATTGTTTTTTTTTAATGTACACATTTCTAACATTGCAGTCTAACACAGCACTGAGGAACAGCAGTTTAAGAAGGGGCAAGCTGTATTTCCGTACAGCTCGAATACACAAGGCTTTCTCAGAGTTCACTGGTGATAAACCTAACATTCAAACAGCATTCGCTGGAACCTTAATGAAGAGTACTGAACGGAATTAAGAATGGCAGTACTGGCTAACTTACTATACACACAAGTCTGTACAACAGCTACCCTTCCTTCCTCTGATCGGCTGAGCTAAACGCCACGGTGGGGAGGACGTGGCGTGAAGGGGATGGTGGGGAAGGGGACACGTGAGTGAAAAACAGAAACAACTACAACGGCAGCTTTTAAAAATTGTTTTAAAATAGTTACACTAAGAATCTAGACTCACCAAAGAGGATTTCAAGTTTCCACCATACTCAGTCCTGAGGTGAGTTCCAGGGAAGGAGAAAGGAAGGTGTGAAGGGAAGGTGTGAAAGGACTTTCACATCTTTAAACTAAACTGTAGCAACAAGTCAGAGTGTTGGTTTCTACTACCCCTCTCCCTAGAGATGAAGAAAGTGAGAGAAAATGTTGGCAAATGGTCTTACAAATACGTAGAAACATCAGTGTGCTGGGTGAGACCTGGGGAAAGGAAAGAGGAAGAGAAAGAAAAAGAACAGAGAACATAAAAGCGCCAGCTAAGCTTTAAGAACTCACCGATCCAGAAATACTTTAATCTGTCCTTTTACTACATACAAGTGGAAAGACTTCTAAATAAATGATGGCATGCATGCCATGAACACAGGTTGTCACAGAAGAAGATGCATATGCCATGGGTACCCCACGGGATGGAGATCCATGAAATCAACAATTATATCTTCTTCATCTTTTCCCAAGACAAATGAGGCATGCGACTAAAATTTGTGTTTTCAAATTAAACTGTATGGAGGGAAGCCGTGAGCGTCTTTCACAGAGAAAGAGCCTACAATGCATGCTACCGTTCGCCTGCACAGAGACCCTCGATGACTTAAGGGGTGGAGGGTTCATAGAATGTCAGGAGAGACATGAACTTGATAAATATAAGGCCATATTTATAATTCTGTTATGCGATAATGGTTCCTGGTCTATCACAAAAACAAAATAAGTATAAAGTCTTGAAAATAAAGTGTCATTTCAGAGAAAATAGGGTCAAACCAACACACAGAAACAAAACTGCAAAGGTGTCGGGAGGCCGGCAACTGAGAAATCCCTCAACCTTTCAGGCTCCCCTCCTCCTCCGGGAAAGCGGAGGACCGTATTAGATCTTCTAATTTGAAAATGCTGCAGTGTTAAGACAAAAGTGTAAGGAATGGAAGACAAAAACCTTAAAGACTGATACCCCCCAAAAGGCAAAACATTTTCATGAAACACAAGTTCAAAAAAGGCTACAGGTTTTATTTATAACTTGCAAGAAATCATATATTTAAGGTGTAAATCTCAACACAGGCCAGGGTGTTTGGAAACAGTAACTTCAGTACATACAGTTCTGGTGTGAGTGAGTAAGAATTTACACAGCATTGCCAGACAGCAATTTGGCAGCAAGTGTGACCCAGAAAGCCTATTTCCAGGGATTTTCCCCTAAGAAAATTATGCCCACATCCTATTATTAAATGGGAGCAGCATTTAAAAAAGTGTACATTCTTTGTGATCCAATGCTACAAACGATATAGAATGTCTACAGAGATCGACACAGATTTTAACTGAGGATAACTGCACAAGGGTAGGATAATAAGTGATTATTTTATGTTTTTCTGTATTTCTAACAGGCTCTGATAGCTTACAGGAAGAAAAGATATACTAAAAACATTTTAAAATATATTATAAAACCACAGGCAGAATAGCTTTAAAAATAAGAGTATTTACCTATGTTTTTTTTTAAAGATTTTATTTATTTATCTTTAGAGGGGAAGGAAAGAAGGAGAGAAACATCAATGTATGGTTGCCTTTCATGCATCCCCTACTGGGAACTGGCCTGCAGGGAACCAGCCGGCAACCCAGGCATGTGCCCTGACTGGGAATCGAACTGCGATTCTCTGGTTCACAGACCTGTGCTTAATCCACTGAGCTACACCAGCCAGGGCTACCTACTTTTTTTTATATAGGAAATACAAAAGAATTTTCAGATTAAACTTTAAGAAGTCATAAGATACTTCAATATGCTCGCTGAACACAAGAACAACATATGAATATCGGTTGTATTTCTATACATAAATAAAACATAATTAGAAAATAAGGTTTAAAAAACTTGCTTTTACAATAGCATCTAAAAACTTCAAATAAATAGGAATAAAGCTAATAAAAGATCATGAAAGCCACAACACAAACACAGACACATACACAACCAGAGATACAATACACAAAATAATTTAACCCTTATTGGAAAGTTCTGCAGTTCTATTTTTTTTGTGTGTTTGTCTTAATCCTCACCAAGGACATTTTTCATTGCTTTTAGAGAAAAAGGGAGAGGCAGAAAAACATCAACGTGAAAGAGAAACATCAACTGGTCGCCCCTATACATGCCCTGACCAGGGATTAAACCTGCAACCTTTCAAGTACAGGATGATGCTCCAAGCAATTGAGCCACACTGACAAGGGCAAATTCTGCATTTTAGGACACAGTATAAGAAAAGAAAGACAAAAAAAAGTTAGGAGAACGACCCCCCACAAAAGGCAAAACATTTTCATGAAACCATAAGTTCAAAACAGGCTTTATTACTACTAAATAAAGGTTTTATTTTTACTCATATAACAAATTAGCAGATTCGGTAAGATGTAAATTCTCACCAAAATGATTCCTAGATTTAATAGAATCCCAATAACAAATTCTAGAAGGTATTTTTCTATTTGGAATTGAAAAGCTGATTTTAAACTTTATAGGAAAGTGTCAAAAAGCCAAGAATAACCAAGCCAATCACAAATAAAAACAACCCTGACAAGCTTATGCTCCAAGTTAATTGTAGTGTGGAGAGAGAGCAGGCAAAAAGGGGAAGGGATTAAGCAAAAAAGCGAAACAAGAAAACTCACAGACACAGACCAGGGTATGATGGTGCCCACAGGGAAAGACAGGGGTGGGGAAGATAAAAAAGGGTGAAGGGAGAGTAAATGCTGATGGAAGGAGACCTGTCTTGAGTGGTGAACACACAATTCAATATACGGATGATGCATCACAGAATTGTACACCTGAAACCTGTACTTGGATTACCCAATGAATTCCATAAAATAGTAAAAATAAAATA